CCCGCCTCTCCTTGGCCACTGGAAAAAAAGCGCAGGGGGAGATGGCCCCACGACAGGGGCGGCCGGGTTAGTCACGGTATTATTTTTAGGTGGGTGGGTTCCCGGCGCTTCCTGAGCAAACACAGCCACCCCGTGGGACGGAGCGAGCCGCTTCCGCCGCCGGTGCCGCCGCGGTGACTAAGGGGCCGCCAGGTTCAGCGCAAAACCCCGGCGTGAATCACGAGCCAACGTCCGTGCCGGTCACCCGGGGCACCTGGCTCGGGAACATAGTTTCCTTAGGAACAGGAGGGCTGTAAAAATCTCACGTTTCAGGACAGCAAATGGGAGATAGGAGCCAGCAGCATCTCTGGCAGGGTTTGAAGCTAAAGATGGGCTTGTTGGACCTCAAAACGTACCTGAAGCCTCGCTGGCAGCACCCCCTAGTTCAGAGGGACTGTGTGCGGGGACCTACTCCCCCATTGGTGCTGTGCCCCTTCGGCAGGTTCGTGATCCAGCTGCTGGAGGACTTGGTGTTTTTCGTCAGCGACGTCCCTAACAACGGTCAGAACGTGCTGGACATCGTGGTGACCAAGCCCAACCGGGAGCGGCAGAAACTCATGCGGGAGCAGAACATCCTCAAGCAGGTGAGCGGTCCCCGGAATGCGCTGAGTGGGGCTGAGCTCCAGCAGAGATGTCCCACCCTGTGTGAGGCCACACCAGGGGCCAGGGCTCCCAAAAATCCCCGTGGAAGAGGCTTAGCTGGCCTTGAGCTCGAGCTATGGTGGTGGGATAAGCCCTCCTGCCAAGCATGGCCAGGGTCCATCGGAGGGGGAAGGAGAGGGATGAAGCACCTCATGGTCTCCGCTTTTGGGCAGATCTTTGGGATCCTGAAAGCGCCGTTCAAGGACAAGGGCGGGGAAGGGCCCCTGGTGCGGCTGGAAGAGCTCTCGGACCAGAAAAACGCTCCCTACCAGTACATGTTCCGCCTGTGCTACCGCGTGCTCCGACACTCCCAGGAGGACTATCGCAAGAACCAGGTGCGTTGGGTCATCCTGGTCTCCGTCGCGGGACTCCCATCCCAACAGACGTTGCACAACCCTACGGAGGTTGCAGAGGTCTTGGGGGGCATTGCCAGACCCCGGCACCCCAGCAGGATGCAGCCCCATCCATTGCTTCCCCTCCTGTCTGCCCGCTGCAGGAGCACATCGCCAAGCAGTTCGGCATGATGCAGTCCCAGATCGGCTACGACATCCTGGCCGAAGACACCATCACGGCCCTGCTGCACAACAACCGCAAGCTGCTGGAGAAGCACATCACGAAGACGGAGGTGGAGACCTTCGTCAGCCTGGTGCGCAAGAACCGCGAGCCACGGTGCGTGTCCGCAAGGGCCGTGTCCCAGCATGGGGCTGGAACGGAGCTTCGTGCAGCGTAACGGGTGGGAAACCACCTCGGCTGGGGGCAGAAAGAGCCCCTAACCCCCTCTCACCGTGAGTCGCCTCTGCTCTGCCCTTGGCTCCCAGGTTTTTGGACTACCTCTCGGACTTGTGCGTGTCCAACCACATTGCCATCCCCGTCACGCAGGAGCTGATCTGCAAATGTGTGCTGGACCCAAAGAACAGCGACATCCTCATCAAAACCGAGTGAGTGACCAAGGGGAAGGCTCTTCTGGCCTTGGGGTTTCACCCGGGCTGGGTGCCCGGCGCTGCCTCCCGCCGCCTCCCTTGCTGCCCTATTCCCTGGCTGAAAGCCCACGTCACCCCTGCTCCTACAGGCAGAGTGTCCCCATGGTTACAGTGTGGGGTGAGCGGTGGGATCCTCCCTCTGTGACAAGGTACAGCCAGACGGTGCCAATCACGGGGTACTCCTCAACTTTACCCCTTTCCCACCCCAAGGCTGAGGCCGGTGAAGGAGATGTCCCAGACGCACGAGTACCTGAGCATTGAGTACTCGGAGGAGGAGGTCTGGCTCACCTGGACCGACAAGAACAACGACCACCACGAGAAAAGCATCCGGCAGCTGGCACAGGAGGCCCGGGCAGGCAATGCCCACGACGAGAACGTCCTGAGTTACTACAGGTGATGATCCTGCCCCCTCTTGTCCCCAGGCTTTGCAGGACGGGGTGGCCTCACTCTCTCCTCCCCTCACTGCCAAACAGGTATCAACTGAAGCTGTTTGCCCGCATGTGCCTGGACCGCCAGTATTTGGCCATCAAGGAGATCTCCCAGCAGCTGGGCGTAGACCTGATCTTCCTCTGCATGGCAGATGAAATGCTGCCCTTCGACTTGCGGGCGTCCTTCTGCCACCTCATGCTGCACGTGCACGTGGACAGGGACCCCCAGGAGCTGGTGATGCCCGTGAAGTTTGCGCGGCTCTGGACCGAGATCCCCACGGCCATCACCATCAAAGAGTGAGACGTGTCGGGGCTTGCAGGGGCTTTGAGGGGCGGGATGCCAAATACTGTGTCCTTGTAGGAGCCTGGGACTGGAGGAGTGGGCATTTGTGGAGTGAGTTTGGCAGGTCTCAGCTGGGAAGGAAAAGGTCTCCAGCATGATAATGAGCATCAGTTCTGGCTGTGGCAGCTCTCGGTGACCAGCGGGACGGTGCTCCTTGGAGGCTGAGCCTTGCTGCCCTCCTTCCCTCCCGCTCACCCCCGTCTCCCCTGGCAGCTACGACTCCAACCTCAACACCTCCCGCGACGACAAGAAGAACAAGTTTGCCAGCACCATGGAGTTCGTGGAGGACTACCTCAACAACGTGGTGAGCGAGGCGGTGCCCTTCGCCAACGAGGAGAAGAACAAGCTCACCTTCGAGGTGCGGAGCCACACGGGGGTGACGGTGCCCTTGAGGCTGCAGTCACAGCGGCGCTGGCACGTCGCATCACGCAGCCTGGCTTGGCCAGAGACCCTCCCCGGCCCTGGAGACTGAGTGCGGAGAGCTCTGGAGTTTCCTTGTCCTTCCCCCAGGTCGTCAGCCTTGCCCACAACCTCATCTACTTCGGCTTCTACAGCTTCAGCGAGCTGCTGCGCCTGACGCGGACGCTGCTGGGCATCATCGACTGCGTCCAGAACCCGCAGCTGATGCTGCAGGCAGTGTACAGCGACGAGGTGACGGGTGAGTCTGCCTCAGCGCCAGGGGAACTCGGCACGGCCGTGGGGGAAAGGGTTTTCTGTGGTCCACACAGCACTTACCAGTTCTGCCGCCAGGAAAAAGAAATATACATAAGAGTTTGATCTTGTGACAGTGGGAGATGAGAGCTGTCAGGCCCTTGGCCTTTCCCAGCGTAGGATGCAAAATGAGCAAGAAATGCAGCAAATGTCCCAGCCATAACACAGGCATGGCTGTGCCAGAGCAATAGCAAGTCCCTCCTATGTGTTCTCTGGTTAATGTCTAAAGCATTTTCCAGTTTAAGTGGGTCCTAACGTCAGTCCTTTCCCACCTCTCTTTCCCCATGAGCTAACCCTGTCCGCCGTGGCTGCCTCCCTAGGGAAGAACGTGCGGAGATCGATCCAGGGTGTGGGGCAGATAATGTCCACCATGGTGCTGAGCAGGAAGCAGTCCATCTTCAGCCCCCCAAGCCTCAGCACCGGCTCTGCCCCGGAGCAAGTAGACAGAGGGAGAAGCATCGAGAATGAGAACATCGTGGTGATGGAGACCAAGCTGAAGATCCTGGAGATCTTGCAGGTGGGGAGGGAGAAACCAGGTTGCTGATGCTTGGAAGGAGGGAGGGAAGCATTGGGAGCTGCAGGGTGGACCCTGGGCTGGTGGGAGCAGTTGTCTGAGGCAGCTGGCATGATGAGGACTCACTTTTGCTTTCTTCTCTCTCTACCGCTACCAGTTCATCCTGAACGTGCGCTTGGACTACAGGATTTCCTACCTACTTTCCGTCTTCAAGAAGGAGTTTGTGGAAGTCTACCCCATGCAGGACAGTGCGGCCGATGGGACGGCTCCAGCCTTCGATTCCACAAGTAACTCTTCCCTTCTGCTCCTAGAATAAGATAAACTCGGCAAACTCCCCAGGCCGGGACTGCGGGTGGTGGAGGCAAGCGCGGCGGCAGCTTCTCCCTGTTGCTGTGGGGGATGCAGGGGCTGGAGCGGTGCAGGAGGGAGCAGGCGTCCCGTGCTGGCTGCGGGCTCCCACGTGCCGGCACCTGGAGCGAGGGCTGGTGCTGGGTCCTGCGAGCTCTTGGTCTCTCCTGCCCTGCTCACCTCCCGCGTTCCCTCTCCTTCAGCTGCAGCCATGAACCTGGACCGCATCGGGGAGCACGCAGAGGCCATGTTCGGCGTGGGGTGAGTCCCCCCTGCTGCCCACCTACCCTGGGCTCTTCCCTCTCCTATACGCACTTGGTGCAGAGCCTGGAAGCTGCAGGTGATGAAGAAGATCATAGAATCATAGAATCAT